GCTCCTCTTTAGGTATTCATAAATATTTTCAAAAAATATTTCTATTTATATATACGAAAGAATGTAACTTATTGTAGAAAAAAAGGAAATTAAAAGTGAAAACACAAGATAGCTTTGCACGGGAAGCGTAGTCTGGGAGAGATGCAGTTCTGCCAAGATGTACAAAGCAGCCATCCATCTCAAACTGTCAAAGTGGAGAAAAGTTTTGCCATCTTGCTTTTTTCTCTTTCTCTATTGTATTCTTGTTTTTCATTTATCTTCTTTTTCGTATCACTGTTTGTCTTACGCTCTTGTATGTGCTATTATAGAGTAATTTCCTGCAGCTGCTCTTCCCAGCCCATGGTATATTTTGTAGCATCTGGCGATAAGTTTTACATAAACATTTTCCTTCGTCTCACAAGAGTGTCCTTCATTTCTAATTTAGAATACAGATTAGTTGGTTGTTTTTTGCCAGAGAGCATTTACGTGAAAGGTCGAAAATATAAGCTTATGAATTTGACTCGTTTCTTAAAGTTTCTTTTCTTAGACCAATATGGTAAATTTTGTTTTCACAGTAAAAAATTAATTTAATTGCCAATATTAAAACATTTTTTTCAGTTACTTTGAAGTTATAACAGGCATAAAAAGTATTTCATATTTGACAACATTTGTCAGTGGCTAAGGCGATAAATATTTTTCTAATGAAATGAAATGGAGAGTGGGAAGTACTGAAAGAAGGAAATTTTGACTGAGGAAATATTCATAAGCAAAAGAAGAATGGAATATTTAATTCCAAAATATCTATTAAAATAACGAATTATGTGTATCATTTTACACATTTAGAAATACTCACAATCAAATAATACTTTTAGATCAATAAAGAATCTTCTGAAATATTGAACTATGAAAATATGATATATCCAAAAGCATTGTTTAATATTTTGGAAGGAAGGGTAATTTAAAGTTTACTGAAATTTTGCTTATGAAATTTTAACAATACTTTAATTTCCGTTAATAAGAAAGTAAGAGCTGTACGATATCCTTATCTTTTAATGGTATGATAAGGCAGAATTGAATGTTTATGAATTTAAAAGAATATTATTTTAAAACAGTATAATTTATAATAAGTATTTGAAAGAATATTGTTACGTTATTTTCTTCCTTCACGTTGTACGGGGTTCGTAGATTTGGAGTGAATAACGACGACAGCACTTGATGGAATATCGAAACACACTTTATTTAGCCAATATTAATCAGGACAGCTCCAATAACACGTTTACACAGTCGTCGAAGAACTACAATAAACACGCTGGAACAATTAGCGACACAGCCTTCAGGTTATCAGGCTATAACGGTGAAGACAGCTTCACTGCAAAGCACCAGAGTACAGCTTCCGACTCTGCTCGGGCGTTCTCGGAACTCCACGTACTCTCGAGACTCTCCACGCTACAACTCTCGATGCACTCGACGACACACAGAGCACAGCTCCCGACTCTTCGGTTCAGTCGTTCCGGTAGCTCAATACACTCTCTCGACGATGCACTAACTCGACGATACACATTAAAGACTCTATCGATGCACTCGATGTCCAACTCGGCGATGGACTTGGAGACTGACTATCAATACTGACTCAATGACTGATTATCAGCTCGCTAGACGAGGCACACAGACTAACTGACTGCGGACCAGCAGGGTTTATATAACTTTCGGTTTGTGTTCGAGAACATTCTGGGCTAAACCGGTAAGAATCGTTCCAGAAGTTTCTTCATCCGTCCACGGCATTTCGCCAATTTTGTAGCCAAATGGGCGATTTCTCGCCAAATGTGAGAACCCTGCCTTCCCTTGTCATTTTATGGCAACCCTAAAACTTGCTTTGCGGAGAAGCTACCTTATCGCGCCTTGGCATTTCCTAACAATATTAATCAAAATCTATTTTACTTATTTAATGGATACGCATTTATGGATTACTCATAAATTGTTCTTATGTATTAGCATTTAAATTTATCAACAGTGTCTTTAAATAGCTAAACGCTTGTTTTTCAAACATCCTAATTTTCCGTTAATTAATTATACATACTGGTGCCTATGTATGGGAATGGAAGCCTAGTCTAGTATGCATAGGTAGCAAACGTCTTCAATGTTATACCCTAAAACGTTGTGATAAGAAACATAATCGTCTAGATTTTTTGCGCTAGATCATCTGCCAAAGTTAAAATGTCTACTGAATAGCAAGCACAAGAATGTTAAATTCTGGTACATAAGTGTTACATGGTCTATTACAATAAGTGGTCTGTTACAATTACCTAATCTTAGATTCACACTGTTAAAGCTTGAGTGCTGTTAGGCTTAAATAGTTTCATTCATATGCCATGTATTTCTGGTTCATTAATTTCTGGCTAAAAGAGGTATTTGGATTCTCTCACATACTTCTAGCGGCATTTACGAGTGATACATAAGCTAGTGACACTGCGCCATGTTACATTTTGCTTTCATTCTATGTCGACTTGATAGTCGAATTCACGTTGAAAGTTGCAGTAGAAAAGTTGAGAAACTCAGCATTACTTGTGATACGAATTTGAATATATTTATGATACGAAGAATTACAGATAGGCTTCGAAGACTTCTATACGTTTAAAGCAGTGGAATCATGTCAAAGCATTAATTAAGAGTTATTCGTGCGTCAACTTAATTCCAGTACTACTCTTCTAGATTTCCTGCTTTGGCTATGACATTGTGGGGAAATAGATTTACAGGCAAGGTAAGAAGGAATTATACAGCTATAATCAGTGAAGTGTTACATGTCATAATGCGGGCATTATGACATGTAACACATTTAAGATTCCTAAATGGCATTCTAATAATGTTTGCAATAATAAGACGTTTCATTTAACCATTGGCAATACGTAAGATTTGAAGCTGTAGATGAATACAATATAAGCTCAAAAGTAAACAAAAGGCAATGATGAGAATATATTTGGTGTTGTTGTGACTTAGCTTACAGTAACATCAGAACAAGCTCACGAAATGCATCGTGACAAGAAGCGCAAGTTTGCACTTGTCATTGGCATACACCTTGAGCACCTATAGGTGACAATACGACTTTACTCATTTCCGCCCGCAATTTTGATGGAGAGCACATCGGAAGGGACGGGTTTGTGTGTTTTCCAACCCTCTCTTCCCTTGCGACCAACTCCTCGAGAGATCTTTCGGCTCGCCGTGCATTTAGAGTGTCCTCACGCCGAGAGACACTATTCATTTACAAACATCTATGTCTTCTCCAGCATTCGAACCCGTGTTTTTCGGTACGACAGGCAGCTTCGCTAACCACTATCCCGATTGAGCGGCTAAGAATATTCACAAAAGATATCGAAACCCCATTCTTAATATTATTTGCAAAAGCTAAACTAAGTGGGGAAGCATTATCATGCAAACATTAAAAATTCATTAGTTTTTTTTAAATCTGAAGAATGAAAGAATTTTGCATTTGGGTATATAATCACTATTATGCAAAATATAGTATAAAATATATATTTATAGAAAAAGTAATAACTGAGTAATATATCCCTAAGATAGAACCATTATATAGTTAAGTAATTTTGTTATGATGTTCGACTGTGTGAGGGACATAAAAATGCAGTCAATGGTTTGCTAAGAACCAAAGTTAGCTTAGTTACCTAAATTTAATTGAAGTAAAAGTTAATAATTATTAAGAATTATGTCAAAATGTTGGATCTTTTGAGGTACAGTTGATAACAGTCAAGGGCTGGATCTTTTGGTCCCTGAATGTGGGATACAATGATTAATTAATCTAATTAACGTTCATAAATAATTAACGTGATTCAGTAATGTTCAAAAATGAAGCAACTATCTAAACACCGTTATAAGACAAGTGCATATATGTGGGATGAGGTTAGGATTAAAATACAGGAAGGCAGTGGCATTTTAAAGGTATTTAATGATGAAAAAATAAACATGATTATGGTATGTACAGAGTGAAAGGGAGTAAGGTTAAAAAGTTCTATTCATCATGAAACGAAATTATATCATCAATCAACATCGTCGAACAGCATAGTTCAGTTACATCCAATGCCACGTCATAACCTCATCGGAATGGACGTCTCTTTTTATTTCCCCACGCAGCTTGAAGAAGTATCTTGCTGCTGTAGCTGTTGCCAGATTTAGGAAGGAGGAAGGTGGATGCGTTGTAAGATCGAATGTCCACACGGCCATTCTGCCTTCCCGGACGTCCTCGCCTGGGGGTTGATCTGAAAAGAAAGGAAAAAAAAAAGCAGAGAAAATGAAAAAAATCAATATCCAGGTGGCGAATGTTAGCTTTGTGCACCACCAGTTCATCTTATCAGTACAATTTGACATCATAATGGTGTCTTCATGGCTAACTTTCGTACTTCGTAACAATCAGAGGGATGTACTGTCTCATAAGGACCGAAGAATATGGGACGAAGTTCAAGTTCAAGTTTCAGTTCAAGTTGAAGATTCAGTCCAAGTGGAAGTTTCAGTTCAGGCTGGATTGTCAGTTTGTATTTGCAGGCAGGTTTGCGACGTTTCTTATACTGCCGTGTATGTACGTGCTGTAAACGGAGAGGTTCCGTTGAGCTTCAGTGCCTAATGCAGCGTTTTCATCATCATGCTGTGTCAGCAATTTCATTGACTTTGAAGTTCGTTTAAATTTTCTTCGTTTATACTTCCAGGCTTTCTTCTTCCGTTTCTTTGGACGTGAAGCAGATAAAGTGTATGAAACAGTAATTTTTCTTCCAAAATATTTCAGCATTTTTTTTGCCTCAAAATCTTCAACTGGAAAGTCAGAGACAAGTTGTTTCCTTAGATTATTTTTCTGTTGTTTGGGAGGTTCTGCACTTTTAGCAGGTGTTTTCTCGTTTGCTTGATCAGCACATCCTTGTTCAAAGTGATTCAGTGGATTTTTCACAGTTTCTTCAGTATTCTACACGCTTGGATCATTATGGACATCATCATCATCATTAGCTTCATGACTGTCATCATCATCATCGTCGTTTGTCATCAACATCATCGTCATTGACATGATTTTCCTCAACAAAAGCAACGTCATCTTGATCAACATCATTATCACCATCTTCATTAGCTTCAGGTGTGCCATCATCAGCAGCAGCATCATTAGCGTTATGATTGTCGCCATCATCAATATCATGATCTTGATCCATGTCGTCGTTTGCGTCATCACCGTCTTCATCAACATGATCGTCATCATCATCGTCATGAGCTTCATGATTGGTATCAGCATCATCTTTGTCATCGTGATCATCCAAATCTAAATTGTCATCATCTAAATCAAATTCTGAATCATCATGTGCATCATCATTATCATTTTCCTTAACTGTTTTCATCAACTGAATTCCATTTTCTGTTATTTTCTGAAAATCTTCCATAGCAGTGTTAACTTCGTGTGGTTTGTGAGGAGTAATGATATGAACTTCTTGGAGAATTTCCGATTTTGAGATGTGTGAAAGATCAGGTGGAAATGTGTGATCATGAGTAACATTAACAACATTACCAAAAATTTTATCATTATTATTGTTGCATAAATGAATACCATCTTTTTCAAATGTAAATCGGGTTTGTTGCAAAAAGTCTATTCCGATAATGGCATCAAGAGGAGTCATATAGTTTTTCACTACATGGATTTTAGCAGGTAAAATAGTGTTTTCAATTTGAATGTAAAATTGATGCTGAACATACATCAGACACTCAACTAGTATGTCATTCCTGTGGTTTGAAAGGCCACAAAAGCAAAAATTGTTCTAATAAATCTAATGGCAAATTATGTTACGGCTGCCAAAATTATGCTCACGTTCATTCCAATTGTCCCGAACGTTCTGGTAGTTTTACCACGGAATCTGGTAATTTTTCTACATCTGATTGTACTGTTCATGCACTTTCCACCCAAAATTTGTAGTCCTGAAAGAATCCAATACTTTGAACTGTGTCTCGGCCAAGTCCTGAGAATGTAATTCTGGAAGGATGTAATGGTGGAGAACCAATTTTGCGGTATGTACTTGTCTCATTAATAAGTGTTGCTTGTGATCCAGTGTCATAGAGAGCAGTTAACTGAGTTCCTTTTAAGTTGAATATCAACATGCATAGGATGTTTAGAAAAATTTTGAGTAGAAAGTGCATTTACAGTACCTATCAGATGTAGAACAAAAATTAGCAGATTCCGTGGTAGAACTACCAGAACGTTTGGGACAGTTGGAATGAATGTGACCATAATTTTGGCAGCCATAACAGAATTTGCCATTAGATTTATTTGGACAAGTATTGCTTTTGTGTCCTTTTAACCACAGGAATAAGCATACTGGTTGAGTATCTGATGTACGTTTAGCATCAATTTTAGCATTGGGAAAAGGAATTTGTAAATTTCTTTGGAGTATTTTGCTTCAAATGTTTTGAATTGTTAAAGAGTTTTTCATAAATCTTCAGTTTTTCTTTAAATTCAGGAATGGATTTACAACCGTATAAAATTAGTTTATTGTTTGATGAATCAGGAATACCATTTATAACATACTCAATAAAAGAAGAATCATCCATAGAACCTTTGTATGCGAGATCTCTCATAGCTAAAAAAATATTCTTGTAAGGTTTCAAATTGTTTCATGTCACGAGATTCCATTATTTGGTTTAATTGAGAGCTATTAATTTTTTTCCGAAAATTCATCTAATAAATGGTGTTTTAATTGTTCCCAATTAGTAATTCCACGAATTGATCTTATTAAAGTTAAAGCTGGACCTGTAAGACATTTTTTAACAAAAATTACTTAATGTACAGGATTCGTGATTTCATAGAGATTAAAAATATCTTCTGTGTCAGAAATAAAAGTTTCAACGCTGTAATTTTCCCGAGAGGAAAAGGGTTTGATCAAATCAACAATGTCTTTTAAGCCCAAACATTGAAACGGAACAGTCTGTGTTTGTAAAAGCAATAAAAAGTTCCAGGCGCGCTTTCAAGAGAGATTTTTGCCTCCATTTGTTTACATAAAGATTCATCTGGAGTGTGATTAATGTTCGTTTGGGATACGCTATGCGTCGAGGGTGAACTTTGCACCAAAGCGTCTTCAAGGTCGCTGTAGTCAGCGGAATCTGGATTTAATAACGATACATCAGCAAGATTCGTAAGAATATTGTTAACACAGTTTTCAATATCGGTGGAAAATTCTAAATACAGTACGCTACAAATGGCAATTAAATCTGTGAGAGAAAATTCTTTGATAATTTTTTGTTCGTATCTTCAAAGTTAAATGGTTTGGGAGAAAACCAGAAAATTGCGTAAACCATAGCACGATTCTGCCGATCACCATCTGAGCCAAAAACTAAACGATGTAAAAGCTTGATATGCTTGGTACTGGCGGTTTTTAATGACTGTGCAATGTTGGGATTAATCGTTAAGTGTAGCCATATTTATCAGTTTCGTTTTAATGAAACTTATCATAAACAAAGTATATTTTAATGTTTCGTATTCTTCAAAATAATATTAATTTTCTTGAGTATATTTACATAAAAAATGATGTTAAAACACTCAAAAATCATAAATGAAATTGTGAACATATGATTCAAACAAAAAGTAAAATATATCGTCAAACAAATTTTCTTATAAGATTATGTTAAGAATGAAAAATAGAATTTCATGTTAAGATATGATATCAAAATTAATAACTTCAAATAATATTCTACAGTTCTTGTAAAATATAGGCATCACGAAAAATAAGAAATTTATGCACCAAATTCGAAAACGAAAGTAATTCTTCAAAGTAACTTTTTTAAAATATCACAATTCCTGTAAATAAGTCAGTAATGTTTTCCATCAAAATCAAATACCTTTAGTTTATTCAATTAAACTTCATCAAAAACTGTTTAATTAATTATCATCAACATCAAATTCGAAAACGGAAGTGTGTTAATTCTTCAAAGTATAATCATTCAAAAATAAAATGAATTTTTATCAAAATCAAATGCCTTTCGCTTCTTCAAATAAACATCATAAAAAGGCGTCATCAAATATTCATAATAACTTGAAAGAATATTACTTCCTCATTAGTATTACTTCATCAAATAAAATTAGCTCTACTTACGTGCTCATGAATCACAAGGGATGAGGTTAGGATTAAAATAGTGGAAGGCAGTGGCATTTTAAAGGTATTTAATGATGAAAGAATAAACATGATTGTGGTATGTACAGAGTGAAAGGAAGTAAGATAAAAAGTGCTACTCATCATGAAATGGAATCACATCATCAATTAACATCGTCGAGTAACAGTTAGTTCAGTTGCGTCCATCACCACGTCATAACCTCATCGGAATGCAAGTCTCCTTTCCTTTCCTCACGCAGCTTGGACAAGTATCTCGCTGCTGTCGCTGTTGCCAGATTTAGGAAAAGGCGGACGAGTTATAGGAGCGAATTACTACACGGCCATTGTGCCTTGCCGGGCGTCCTCGCCTGGGAGTTGATCTGAAAAGAAAGAAAAAAAACAAAAAAGCAGGATTGTGAAAAAAAATCATGTCCAGGTGGCGAATGTTAGTTTTGTGTACACCAATTCATCTTATCATACAGGTTGAAATCATAATGGTGTTAATGGCATCTTTCGTACTTCGTATAATCAGAGGGATGAACTGTTCATAAAGACCGAAGAATTCGGGACGAAGTTCAAGTCCAAGTTCAGTTCAGTCGAATTTCATTTCAGGCTGATTGGCATTTGGTGTCCAAGTTGTATTTGCAGGCAGGTTGCGACTTTTCTTAACGCGGTATATGTGCTTTCTGTAAACGGAGGGAGGTTCCGTGAGCTTCAATGCGTAATGCAGCTTTGTTATCATCATGCTGTGGCAGCAATTTCATTTTCTTTGAAGTTCGTTTAAATTTTCTTCGTTTATACTTAGGTATTTGACTCTGATGAAAATCCATTGCCGACTATTTAAAGAATTGTGATGTATTAAAAAATTTACTTCGAAGAATTACTTTCGTTTTCGAATTTAGTGCATAAATTTCTTATTTCTTGTGATGCCTATATTTTCCAAGGACTGTACAATATTATTTGAAATTATTAATTTTGATACCATATCTTAACGTGAAATTCTATTTTTCATTCTTAATATAGTCTTATATGAAGATTTGTTTCACGATATATTTTACTATTTGTTTAAATCATATGTTCACGATTTTTCAGTGTTTTAACATCATAGTTCTTGTGTAATATACTAAGAAGAATTAATATTATTGTGAAGAATACGAAAAATTAAGAATATATTTTGGTATGCTAATTTCTCCTAAATATTTAATACCAGATAAATTTTTGATTAAATCGAAACATACATATTTTGTGAATTTCATACTTGGTTAAAACAAAACTGGTAAATAATGGCTACACTTAACGATTATCCCAACATTGCACAGTCAATAAAAACCGCCTGTACCAAGCATATCAAGCTTTCACCTCCTTTAATTTTTGTCTCATATGGTGATCGGCAGAATCGTGCTAGGTTACGCAATTTTTCTGGTTTTCCCAAACCATTTAACTTTGAAGATACGAAACAAAAAATTATCAAAGAATTTTCTCTTGCAGATTTAATTGCCATATGTAGCGTACTGCATTTAGAATTTTCCACCGATATTGAAAACTGTGCTAAAAATATTCTTACGCATCTAACTAATGGCTCGTTATTAAAATCAGATTCCGCTGACTACAGCGACCTTGAAGAAGACGCTTTCCCTCGAGCATAGCTCGCCAAAACAGCCATTAATCACACTCCAGATGAATCTTTATGTAAACAAACGGAGGCAAAAACTCTCTTGAAGCGCGCCTGCAAATTTATTAGTTTCAACTAACCCGCAACCCGACTGTTCGTTTCAATGTTTAGCTTAAAGAATTGTTGATTTGAACAAACCTTTTCCTCTGGGATAATTACAACATTGAAACTTTATTTCTGCATGAAAGTATTTTAATTCTCTATGAAATCACGAATCCTGTACCAAGTAATTTTTTGTTAAAAAGTCTTACAGGTCCAGCTTTAACATTAATAGATCAATTCGTGGAATTACTAATTGGGAAACAATTAAAACACCATTTATTAGATGATGAATTTTCGATAAAATTAATAGTCTTCAAATACATCAAATAATAGAATCTCGTCACATGAAAACAATTTGAAACCTTACAAGAATATTTTTTAGCTAGGAGAGATCTCGCATACAAAGGTTCTATGGATGATTTTCTTTTGAGTATGTATAAATAGTATTCCTGATTCATCAAACAATAAACTAATTTTATACGGTTGTAAATCCATTCCTGAATTTAAGAAAATGAAGATTTATGAAAAACTCTTTAACAATTCAAAACAGTTGAAGCAAAATACTCCAAAGAAATTTACAAATTTCTTTTCC